GGACAGAGTGGGGAGCAGAACAGGCAGATCAACGAAGTACACTGCTGAGGGGAGCAGCGGGCAGATTAGGAGAGGTCTGCTGCACCCTGTGGGTCACTTCCAGGGCTGGGGATCGAACTCGGATTGAAATGGCTGCGGCTAGCTTGCAGTGAGTGCTGCGTCCTAACCCTTTGCACCACCAAAGGGGGCCAATTTGTAGAATTTTTTAAAGGGGAAAAAAAGCCCATCAATATCATTGCCAGACATCTTTTCTCTCAGATTGAATTGCTCCTGACATTTCATAAAACTTCTCAACTGGTCGGTACACACAGCTTCTTCCAAGCTTTGGGAGCACAATAAAAGTGACTGATTATATTGGCAAGTGTTTTTATAATTGTTTTTAAAAGTACATTTAAAAAGCCAGTCTTTGAAAATTGCTTAAATACGGAGCATTTGTTCCCATTGTTGACTCTCAAAAACATTTATATTTCATTAGGGAAATGAATGTTTTTCCACCATTAAAAGGTGTGAGTGCATTGAACACACCGTGGGAATCAGCTGCGGCTTACTTCAGTGTTATTTCTGAGTTCGAGATACCTTTTATTATTGTCTAAGGTTTATGATTTTAAAATCAACGTATTTTATCCTTTAAACATCCGGTGAAGCAGGGTTCTGAATAGAGCTAGCTTAGGAAGACAGGGAGGTTTCTTCTGTTTTGTTCCTTTTACTGAGAAGCCCAGTGGAGAGGCTTCTAAAGAGAGTCCAGCTTTCTTTATGAATCTTCAGTTGATCGCTGGTCAGTGTTAACAGGAGGGGAGCTGCTTCCTGGGGTGCAGTACATACCTTTGTTCTCGGTTGGTGATCCTCAAGTGACCCAAGTGAAAATGTTTCCAATTCCTCTTGTGCTTAACTAAAGGGAAGTGCCAGCATCATCTGAGACACTGAACAAGCAGGGCGTCAATGAGCCTGGCCTCAGAAATACCAACTGAGTGCGTGTGGGCGCAGCCTGAGTTCTGCGTTTTCTAGTTTGTGCAGGCTTGTCCAGCCTAGCGACCAGGCACCAAGAGGCCGTGTTGCCAGATTCCGTTTATATGAAGTGTTCAAAATGGGAAATCTATACAGAACGCAGTAATAAAACCTCCAGGCCTTATTACTGGTGTCTGGCTGGCACTGGATGTCACCAGCTAAGGCCGTTCTCAAGGCAGTTTTTCCACTAACCTGAGTAACAATGTGATTTTCAGATTGGCTGGTGATTGCAAATTTGTGATATTTTTACAAGGTGGAAAAGTTGCTTTGTAAACATCTGTCTGGTGTGAGACCACAGCAGAGGATTTAAAAGTACATTGACAGCAAACCCCACTCCCAGCTCCTAAATCCTTTGGCGTTAAGTATGTCAGGGAATTGAAAGCAGATTTTCAGACAAAAGCTCGTGTATGAATGTTCATCGCTGCACCATTTACCAGAGCAAAGACATGGAAACCATCCAAACAGCTTATCAACTACTGACTGGAGACCCCAAATGTGGTAGCTTCTTACCATGGAAGATCAGTCAGCCATAAGCAGAATCGGAGCGCAGAGACACTTCCGGATGGATGAGCCTCAGAGACACGATGCTGACAGGAAGCGACCAGGCACCAAGAGGCCGTGTTGCCAGATTCCGTTTATATGAAGTGTTCAAAATGGGAAATCTATACAGAACGCAGGTTATGTCTGGAAAGAGGGGACACGGAGAGTCGCTGTGTAAAGGGTGTACAGTTTCTGCTAGGGTCATGAAAATGTTGTGAAATGTGGTGGAGGGGATAGTTGCGTGACTTTGTGAATGTGTTACGGCCATTGGACTGCACACTTTAATACAGTTACTGTGGGGAATTTTATATTATGTGACTTATACCACCATCCTAAATAATATGAATAAAAAGGGAGTTCAATGACCAAGTTTGTTCGTCAGAGTTCTTTCAGGCCTACTTCCCTCCTTTCTTTCCTTTAATTCTGAATTTGTTTGATAGTTACCAATAATTTTTAGGCATTTAATCTGCAAGTTAGAAAAGCCCGAGTATAAAAAGTTAAAGCTATGATATAGATAACTCTGGTCATTTCTCATCCTTAACCTCCTTTTCTGAACTTCATTTGAGCTTCCAGTGAACACAGCCAAAGACCCAACCTAACTGGTTGTGCACTGATGAGGTGAGATTTAAAAATCTGCCCCCACATCAAAATCTCATTTAAAAACTGGAAGATTGTGTTTGATGTTCGGGGGAGGGGGGAACAAACAAACCGGAAGATTAATATTTGGGGGGAATGAGATCCAGGGTGAGCTGTGCAGTCATGGACAAGTAAACTGTTTATTGAGGGCAGGCATTTTTACACCTGTAGAATCCTTTGACAGGTATAGCCAGAAAGTGAAGTTTCTTGTTCATTTTTTCCCCCTTTAACAGTTTTTCCCTCTGCTGTAGTGAGTACAGGTTATTTTTGCCAGTCGAGGCTTCCAGCAGAAGTCATTAGCTTATATGACTGCAATGAGATCAAAATGAAGCTATAATGGAAGGTTTAGGAAAACAGTTCAGGAACTGTTTAGGTCCTGAAAATTGTGTTCTTATGAGATCTTTACAGATGGCTCAGTTGGGGATGATAAGAGTGCATTTAATTTCACATTTTTATAGACATTTAAAGCCAGTGGGTCTTGCTTGGGAATAATTGAGAAAATTTGCCTTTACCCAGTGGTTATCAGAAACCACTAAGCTAGTGATTTGGTTGCATTTAAGTTCCCTTGTGGTGTCTTAAAAGATTTCACATGGATAAAAGCTGAGCAGAGTTCTCTCCTGGAATATAATTTCTTAAAAAAAACTTAATTCTCAGGGAAAATCAGCCATGTTTCTCCGTGTCTTTCAAACACTGCAAAAACCTTGTGGGAAAATTGGTGAAAGTTTTATTTTGCCTCCTCGAGCTGATCGTGAGGTAGCCTAGACCCTGACATGCAGAGCTGCCATTATCAGAGGATTTTTTCCCTTATCTGTCACTTGAAAGATTGTGAGGTGAATGAAATGATGCGTATCAGTCAACAAAATACCTCTTGCCAGAGACCCACACGGACGGGACGTCCCGCCACCGTGTGTCTGCGATTCCAGGCAGTGGGTTGACAGAGAGCCTGAAAGTGTAGCAGGTGCATCTGACTCAGAGGCCAAGGTCAGGTGTTCTGGGTTTGTGCAGTGAGGAGAGGGGAGACCTACTTATCTTTAAGGAAAAGGTCTTCCTGTTCAGTGACCTTTGCCCCTGCTCTGCCTTCTCGATTCTTTCTTCTTACACTGCCATTTTGTGGCTGTTGTTACTGTTGTCATCTTGCTTATTGCTAAACTGGATCCGTTTTATGAAAAACAGCGTGTCTGTGTGTGTGAACATTCTGATTATTCACAAAACGTCTTTTTTTCCCACTGCCATCCCTTCTACACCTTTGACCTTTTCTCTCTCTCTCCTTTATAATTTAGAAACCTCCCTTTATTCATTTATGAATGTCCTATCCTGCCATATCAATGCATCTGCTGCAATTTAGGGCTTTATTCATATACAGAAAACATTCGGTATATGTGTTTATCTTTCTGACTTGTTTTAGTACACATGATTCCCTCAAGCTCCTTTCATTTGGCCAGAAACGGCAGCATTTCAGCTTTCCTTCCAGATGGATTGTGACCACTGTATGGATGGACCACCTCTTGCCCTGACCCTCAATCAGTGGGTGGGCCTTTTATGTTGTTTCCATGTTGTTGCTAGAAGGCCATGGAGAACAGGTATACTAGGGTGCTGTCATCTAGGACTGACCTTGTACTCTTGAGGAAGAAAGACATTCTAAAAATCTCCACTGGACGTCATCTTAACATCAGTGGAGATTCATTTAGGCCTAACACCTCTAGGCTGAGTACTGGCTCTTTGCCAAGACCAGGTCTTAATCGGGCATTGTTCTGGAGGTGATAAAATTATCTGCAGTTCACCTGTTTTTCTTAAAAACTGAGGTAAACATTTCAGGTATCAAACATGTTCGTGTTCCAGAGGGTAATAAAGGCAGGGTGGTGTTGAAGGGATGGCTGGTTTGTTCACTGTTTGCATACTTTATTACATCATATTTTCTTTTTTGTCACTGATGCCATTTTCATCGTGGAATTAAAAAATGTTTAATTCTGAGTCTTGGAGTAGTGCCTGGTGCAACGTGATGACTGAAAAATATTTGCTGAGTGAAAAAGCTTCACGGCCCTGCTCTGCTCCTGTGTGTCCCCAGACCATAGCCAGGCAGCTGGCTGAGATCCTGCTGCGGGGGATGTGTGAGCAGAGCTACTGGAACCCGCTGGAGCAGCCGCCCTGCCAGTCGCCCCTGGACGACCCTCTCCGGAAAGGCACCGACACCAGAACCTACACCCTCACTCGGAGAGCCCGCGTCTACTCGGGAGAGAAGTATGGAGTGGTGTCTGTATTTGGAGCTGAGGGGACAGGCGGGAAGCTACAGGGAGATTCCAGGATGTGTAGAATTCAAGGGCAGGTTTCCCCCGCTAAATTTACCACTTTAATCGGAGATGGCTCAGTACTTCGCCTGACTTCAGCAGGTAGCTGTGCACTGGCCGGGATGTACCCGGCAGAAAATGCTGTTTCAGCCACCACTGTGGGTCTCTGGGATTCGAACTCCATTTATTAGCAGTTCTGCAGCCATCCGCCCAACTCTGCCCAAGTCAGCCTGAACTTTGTGCTTTAGCCGTTCATTGATACGTTTGTGTATCAACTTGTTTTGTGCTAAATGAACTCTGAGAAAGATAATGAAACCATTGACACATGATTGGAAGGTGATGTCACGTTAGAACTTAATTTTTTAAGTTTTAAATTTGGGCCTTGATCACCTCTGAGGAGAACGGGCCCCTGCCGTCCTCCCCAGGTCGGGATTGGGGCTCTGGGAGCGAGGGAGACCCAAGAAGAGCCGGGGCTGGGAAAAATCGCCGATTCCTTCCTGCCCCCTCCGCTCAGTGCCTTTACTACCATCTTTGCTTGGCCCTACCCGGACAAGCCAAGGAAGGTGCCGTTTTAGAATCTCGCTTGAGGAAGGGAGAACCTATTTGAAGAGACATAGAAAAAACATTTTGTTATCAAATTGGGAAAATGATGGAGCGTCGGCAGGCTGCTGCGTGTAAGGACCAGGGAAAGCGTGTGGGAGCAGGGTGCGACTTCTCACCCTGTCACTCTGGAAAATGATCATGGCCTCTCACAGGGGACAGTGTTAATCCTCTTAAGATGACCTGGCATTTCTCTCACCTCCTCCTCTTATTGTTCGGTTTGCATGTCTTTGTATGGATCCAGACAAAGGAGCACTTTATTTTTCACCTAGGTTGGTTTTAACGTAATTGTCATCCCCCGGGTCCGAGGGGGGATGACAACCATTCACAGCCTGGGTTTACTCTTTAGTCCTGATCTAGGTACATAGCACATTTGTTCTAGCAACGTCCATACTCTCACTTAAAAAATGCTGATCCCTTCCTTACAAGCAAAGATTGGGGTTCAGTTTTAAGGTGATGATGGTCTTGAACTAGACCTCAGATTTTTTTTCCTGGTGAGATGCTTCTTAATAGCAAAGGTACCATTAACTGAGGAATTCAGTGTTTGCTCTTTCCTCCTGTCAGTTGGGACCCTTGGCTGGGGAGTTACGCCAGTGTGATCTCCTCCTCCTGGGAGGCAGAAAAACTCTCAGAACTGGCCACTTCCCTTTGCTTCTGGAGACACTTAGATATGGTCATGCTCCTGATATCAGCTTCCCCATCTGAACAGGAGAGTTATGGAGGCAAAATGTGGGCCTGGAAAATGCAGCGAATAACTAAAGGGAACATGCTGCTACCAGCACTGATCACCGAGTCATGACTTCTGTTTCACACAGATAAGCACAGTCAGTTGGGTTTCTTCTTTTAATTGTTTTATTCAGATGTCATTCACGTACTATATGTTATATATGTATAACTCACTCATTTCAAGTGTCCAGTTCAGTGATATAACATAGTCACATTGTTGTTCTTCCATTACCACAGTCAACTTTACAATATTATCCCAAAAATAAATCAGGCACCTGAATCCTTTGCATTTTTTTATGGATTTTACAATCAATCTGTCCAATTCTGATAAAAAAAAAAAAAGAGAGAGAGAGAGAAAGCAACTGTGATTTGATTAGGAATTGCATTGAATCTATAAACTATACTGAGACTCATAGACTCACACATTAAGTCTTTTTCATGAGCATTTTCATATTCGTGAAGTGACTTTCCATTTATTCCTTTGAACCTGTTTTACTTTCCGACAACAAATTCTGATCATCAGAGTATAAGGTGTACATTGTTTTTGTTAAACCCACTCCTGGGTTTTCTTGTGGGTGTTCCCCATTTTGATGCCCTCATAAATAGTTTTGTAATTTTGTTTTTGGATTGTTCGTTGCATACAGAGAATTACAGCTGATTTACTACCTTGATCTTTTGTGCTTGCTGAGTCTTGCTGAACTCCTTCATTAGTTCTAATAGTTTTTTTTAGATGCCTCAAGGTTTTCTATACTAGGTATTATCGTCTGCAAATAGAGTTGTATTTCTTCCCTTCCACCTGCATGCCTTTTCAAAATGTGATTGCCCCAGCTGGAATTGTCAGAACAACGTTGAATAGAAATGTCAAGGTTGCATGTCCTTGTCATATCCTTCTTACCAGGAAAGCAGCTGGTCTTTTACATTATGCTTGATGCTCACCGTGGATTTTCATAAATGCCCTTTACTGGGTTGAGGAAGGTCCCTTCTGTTAGCGGTTTGTTGACCTTTTTTTTTTTTTTTTTAATCAGAAAGGGTGTTGAACTTGTCAAATGCCTTTTCTGTCTTGTTGAAATGATCATATACATTTTCTCCTTTATCCCACTGATGCATGATATATTGCATTAATTAATTTTCAGATGTTAAGCCAACCTTGCATTCCTGGATAAATACCACTAAGTCATAGTGTGTGCTCCTTTTCATTATTTCTGGGTTTGATTTGATACTATTTTATTAAAGATTTTTGCATCTATATTTGGGGGAAAAAACTGTCTCTAGTTTCTTATGATGTCTTTGTCTAGTTTTGCTGTCAGTAATTCTGGCCTCGTAAAAAGAGTTTGTGGCTACTCCTTCCTCTTCTGTTTTTTGAATGAGTTGTTGGAATATTGGTATTCCTGTGAAGCTTTTCTTTGCAGGAAAGGTTTAGATTATTAATTTAATCTCTTTACTATTATAGGTCTATTCATATTTCCTATTTCTTCTTGAGTTCTTTTGCTGGTTTGTGTCCTTTTGAAAATCTGGCCACTTCACTGAGGATATCCAACATGCTGGCATGTAGCTGTTCATAGTATTCCTTTATAATTTTTTTATTCACCTCTCATTTATTTCTCATTGTAGCAAGAAGAGACTTTTCGCACTCGCTTCAGCCATTGTTGGCTTTGATTCTTGAGCTGTTATCTGGTGGGATGTGGCTCAAAGGCCATATTTCTGCAGGGATCCCTAGTATCATGGCCAGGCATAGTCCCATTATAAGGGTGTCATGGACCTTGGCGTTGACCTGCCATTGCTTCCAGATCACCTTCCTTATGTGCTCTAGGTGTTCCATGCCCCTTGTACCTAAACAGAGTCTGCATTGACTCGGATGGTGCTGGTGACCTTGACATGTCCAAATTGTCATTTTTTGGTGTAATAGCTAAAGGGGACAAAAGAAGTAAAATGCATCTGGGTCAACTTGGATTAATTTCTCTTGTATGATTGTTTCTACCACCTACAGTAAGCTTGTTAGCTATCCAGGGACATTTTTAAAAAAGGACTATTATCTGGGAGACTTGGTAAAATTGTGATTGCAATTTATAAATGAGAATTCTTGCCCTGTTCCTTATTCTTCTGTAGCATCAGATGATGAGTTGGTAAATTCATGCAAAATAAGAAAATGAGCAATTTGCCTAAAGGTCAGTCAGTGAGTTAGTAACATGACTAGGATTGGAACACGCCTGCCCATTCGTAGTCCTGCGTCACTGCCAGTGCCGCCTCTCCCACCAGCCCTCCATTCCACCACACATGTGTACTCACTGCCCACTGATATCATTTCTCCTTGTCAGCCAGCTTCCTCTGGGTCTAGGTCTCTACTTTGCAGACACCTGACAGATACTTCCCCAGAACCCTAAGAGGAGTATATCAAAAAAAGATGGGCCCCAAATTCCAACCATCCATCCCGAGGTTCACACTTCCCAGAATAGGGAGGAAATAAGGAGTGGCCTAGAGAACCCATAATGATTGGGAGGGGCATGCCAGTGTGGTGTTTTCAGCCTGGTGCCTAAACTACTCCTTCTCCCAATTCTGCCTCACTTCTTCCTGCCAGCCCTGAAGGCTTTACAGAGCTCCTGAATCCCCATCTTGCCTGCCTTGAAAGAAGGGTAGAGGAAGTAGGATTAGAGTCAGTTAATGTGCTACTTGTTAGCAGCTCTAGTAAAAATAACACAACCTAGCATTCAAGCAGGCTGGATGGCTCAAATGGAATTTGGGGATTATCCATGGACAGAATTGGCTGGAGTTAGGTCACAATTAGCATGGGCTTTTTCTCTCTCTCTTTTCAATTAGTCTGGACAATGTGGAACTGGTTGGCCCAGAGAAAATGGCTCCTGCTTTGTTAGTGTTAAGCCCTCAATTGTAACATTGCTGTGTTACTTGTGAGATCTCCATTGCTTGAAAGCAGAAGCCAGGATTTCAGGAAATGATGACTGGATGGAGACACATGTGCACAAGCACATACAGTACTCACACATACACACACACACCCTTAATCCAAAACCTGCAGGCTCTGTCTCTGACTTTGAGTGGTAAGAAGTATTCCAACTCCTACCAGTGTCTTCAAGCTTCCTCTTTAAGCACATCCCTACACATCCTGAACTTACTCCTTATTCTCAGGCTAGCCTATGCAAAGGCCTGGGGACCACCCCACAAGAGAATCCCTAATGAGAGGGTGCCCGAGCTGTACAAAGAGTACAAGGCTCCACTGCTCCTGTCTGTCTTGCTCTTCATGGCCTTTGATGCCAAACAACTGCTGCAGCACTTCAAAGAGATCAAGTATTTAGAAAACATTTTTTTGCTAGGTGGGGGAGGGGGATGCTTTGTGAGGGGAATGATCCTGTCTCCTAAAGTAAAGGATTATAATGTTACCTTTGGGAAGATATAGATTTAGTCTTTATTTAGTCATTTCCAAAACATCTAGGAGCTTTTTAATCAAGTTCATTTTTATTGCACTCTTCTTCCATTCCATGAAAATAGTTGAATTGGCTCAATTGATGATAACCCTCACAAGTCCATTCAAAGGATTCTGGAGTTTTAGATCAAGGGGGAGATGCCATGAATCTTTACAATGCTCAAAATACAAAAAACAAGGATACAGAGACTGGGAAGTTGGGGTTATGTTTAAGTTGTATTGTTCTCTAAGCAATGCTGAGCTTAAAACTTCTTTTAATCCACAATTTTAGGGTTCAGCCAAATTCCAAAACCAGAGCAGTAAGAAAACTCTTACATGCTACCCCATAATAAAATGTGTGTTTAAGTAAGATAGCATTAATTCTTAGAGTATTTGAGAAATTATTCAAACTCAAGCATTGCCGCTGGTCTCCTATTTCATTTTAGTGACAATATAAGATATGCCAGTTAGCCAGCCTCAGAGGTTAAGGGGAAGATAGTGGAATGTTAGCAGTTCACCCCTTTCCTGGGTATTATTTGCTTGTGTTGTTTAGATCAAGTCAGTGATTTCTGCTTCTATAATTGTCAAATGTTATTTGGGCTTTTAAGTTGGTTTTTGTCATTTTATTCTTACCCTGCTATTAAAAATGCTTAGTTAAAAAGAATACATTGCACAAGTTATGTATGATAGGTATACAGAAATTAACTTGTGTATCTAAGTTACATGGGATTTTTCTTAGGTTCTATATAAAATCTAGACTTTTTAGCATTCAGATCTGCTCATAGTTTATGCATTTTATGTTATCTTGCAATTGCCGTATTTCAAAGTTGTTTTTCTTTGTACAGCATATTTTGTCCACAAGAAAATACTGAAGAAGCCCTGTTGTTATTGCTGATTAGTGAATCGATGGTAAGTTGAATGTGTGTCAATATTTTCCTTTTCCCTGCCCCTCTAATCCCTTTTTTGATATGGTCACTCAGTCCATATAGTGATTTTTTTTCCTTGGGAAAAGAATACTTTCTGCAGCCTCCCTCGTGGCACATCACCATCACAGCCTGAGTTCAATCCCCAGCCAGGGAGCTGACCCACATGGCACAGCAGGCCTCTCCTGTCCCACCCACTGCTCCCTTCAGCAGGGTATTTCAGTAGATACACCTGTTCTGCTCCCCACTCTGTCTCTGGTGAATCTTCTCACCTCCTGTATCTCTGGCCTCCATGCCAGTTATTCTACACAAAAATAAATAAACATTAATAAAAAAGATTACTTTCTGTGGAGGATCCTTGGGTGGGGGAAAAAACAATAGGAGCTTAAAAAGAGGGACCCTTCTTCATTCTTGAACAGGCTAGAAGTGTCCCTAGTCATCCTGGAACATGGGAGCTTTTGTTCCCTTAGCAGTTAGCAGCTATCTGAGTTCATTCATTCATCTACCAAGTGTTGCTTATAATACATGTGTGTATGTGGGTAAACTATAGCAATAATGTCCCCCAAGGAACCTTAGAAGGGGAAAGAAGCCCCAAAGGGTAATATTTTCTGAGCCTTCATATCTACCTCAGTGGGAAAGAGAATTTTGTGGTCATCCATTTGTCCATGGGAACTTCTGCATGGGCTGCAGGAGCTGAGCGGCTGGCTGGCCCTCTGCAGAGCCCGGCCCAGCAGGGCAGGGCTCCAGCCCCCCACCCCCAACCCTACTACCCACCTCTGCTGTGGCAAGGCAGTTTTTGCCAGGCCATCAGATTTCTTAAATGTTTTCTTAGTATTTGGCCAGGTATCAAGTTTCAGGTCTAGAATTTGATGGCACATCAGTTATTAGGTTTCTACTCTGCAATTGGCTGGGCATGGTGTCCCAGGCCCGAATCGTTCCAGAGACACTCATTGTGGTAGCTAACACCTCGGCCAGGAAAGGGTGTGTGCTGTGTGCCTGAACAGGGTGGGAAGTCTCCAGGACTTGAGGACCCAGACGTCTCAGGCCAGACACTTTGTTTTGCAGATGAGGAACCAGAAGCTTGGAGCAGGCACTGTGGCCAGCAAGGGTCCTTGGCTGGCTCCAGCAGGCCCTGCTGTCTGCCCCTCCCAGAACCGCCACTCAGCCAGCAGGGAGGGAAAGGAGGAGAAAGCTGGGTTGGGGGTGCAGGGTAACTAAGCAAGATTAGGTGTTCCCTTCTTCCCATGGTTTGTTTGGAGGCTTGAAGTGTTCTCAGGTGAACAAGGCTTAGAAATGGCCAGCACAGAACCTCCTGACGCAGGGCCTCATAGGGAGAGTAACTTTCTGCCTTAATTTAAAACTTCAGTTTTCTTGTTCTGTGAAATGGCCCAGAGGTGTTTACAAGAGCAAGACTGCTTGAGTTACCTCGTCTTTTAATTTGGAAGCGCTTTGACGTCATTGGCCTCACTTCCTCTGAAGGAATCAGTTGCCCCTTGGCTCATTTTTCCTTGCCTGTCAGCTGGCAGCTTAGGACGGTGTCGCTTACATTCTCTGCTCTGCCTTGGCACAGGCGGGAGGGCGCATTTGTGAGCAGGATGGCACTTGGTAGATTGAGCAAAGCGCTTCAGGGCGGACTCCCCGCCCGTCACTGATCTGCCTGGGGCCAGTTCACGGCGGCCTCCTGGCGGGCGGGCGGCCTCTCCCTCCACTGGGCTGGACTCCTCACACGGCGCGGAAACGGTTTGTTTCCGGTGGGCACAGTTGGGTGGTTCCAGTGTAAAAGTGACCACTCCTGGCAGATTTCCTGAACATCTCTGAAAATACTGCGTTCGGGTGTCAAATCAGGGGCCCCCACTTGGGAGAATTTGGAACACACGGCACCTATCTAAAATGCTCACCCTCATGTGGGTGCCTTGAGATTATCTCCGCCTCTCCTGCCCTGCCACTGGAGTGATGGACATAACAGAACTCAAGTCAGAGCCGTTAACTCTGCGGTGTCTCATTTCCCGAAGCTTTCTGCAGAGAACGGTGACGTCCTCAGGAACTGTAACGGATGAGGCTTCCAACCAGAGTGACTGTCATTCAGCCTGTAACTACGTAGGGAGGAATCTAAACTCAGTCGCCTTTGCTCCCTCCTTTTCCCATGTCCCTTGGCTCCTTGATTTTTCAGTTTTTAGAAAGAGAATGAATGTGATCAATTTCACAACCAAAATGAGAGTTGCTGGTTTTTTTTTTTTTTTTTTTTTTTTGGTGTTGAGAAAAATTGTATTCTTTGTAGGTTCTGACTCTAGCTTCTAAACATAATTCTTTCATAGTTTCGCCACCTCAAGAAATTATTTGAAATTATCCTGCTTCATCAGCGGCAAGACAAGTCGGTTTTCCCCAAGAGGAAGTGGTATTTGCACTGAGACAGTATTCTGGGCTACTTATCTCTCGAGTTCCTGTATTGTACCTTTTCAAATTCATACAACATTGATAAAATGTCTCCAAAAGAAAGCAAGCCTTTGGTGTAACTTGAAAATCTCACATTGTTCCTTCGCCCCCACACCCCAACATCAGTTTCGTTCTTTTCAGGCACTGATCTTTGGGTGGAAGGAACATTTATAATATATCAGTAAAACAGACCACTTCCAGCAGACCCTGTTTATCTGGGAGCCTCTTCCCTTGGCTCCAAAGGCCTTCCTAACAAGAAAACTTAGAGGGCCCTCCCTGGTGGTGCAGTGGGTTGGGACGCAGCACAGCAAGGTGGCCGCCATCGCTTCAGTGTGAGTTCGATCCCCGCCCCGAGGTGGCCCACATGGCGCGGCAGACCTCTCCCGGCCCGCCTGCTGCTCCCCTCAGCAGTGTATTCTGTAGCTCTACCTGTTCTGCTTCCCACTCTGTCTCTGGTGAATATTCTCACTGCCCCTGCACCCCGGTTCTGTATGCACAAATAAATACATAAACCTTTAAAAAAAATAAATTAAAACTTAGAATGAGATCTTGAAAAGCAGGCTTATTTCCATACACGATGACTCACTTTGCAGGAGGTGGCCTGTCTTACATATTCGTATTTGTCTTTGACATTTAAGAGCAGGGATTTTAAGCGAGTACTGATGGGTGGTGGCTCGGCACACGTGCTTGGGCTCACATAGAAAGAAGCGTTTGTCTCTGTGGGAGAAGGTGTGTGTGCGGCCTTCTGGAAGAGCAGGCGGAAGGTGACCCTCCTAGCCTGGAAGGGGCCCCACAGGCGCACTGCGCCCACAGACTGGAGGGACCGGGCAGGGCCCCTCTGTGCTCTCAGGGACGGAGACATCGGGGCCAAAACAGGTTGAAGCCTACTTGATTGATTCTGAACTTCTGATTGGGGGAAAAAAGGAAAATAAACACGGGTTGGAGTCTCTAATACATGTAAGATGCCTGGAGAAATCTAAATTTCCAAAGTAATGGAAACAAGTTGATGTAAAGAGCATTTGATTTCTAGATAGATGGGATTACTGAGTTTGAGCGTCTCTGCCCGGTTCTCTGCTAAGTAGGGAGGTGTGAAATTGGCAAGGCGCTCCCTGAAGTCCTCGTGGTAATATCTTTTAAAACAAAAACCTGTTTGCTTCTTACTTTCTCTTATACATCTGTGTTGTGCTTCCTGAAAGAAGCTCAGATTAGTCTTTGTGGTCTGTTCCCAGGAAGATGTCATATAGGACTTGAATGCCGCTTTGTGAGAGCGGAAGAGTGTGCTCCGTCTCTGTAGGTCTGAGGGAACTTGGCAACCCCCCGGACGGCCACGTGGGGCCAGGAATTGTCTCTGGCTCCTCAATGTCAGCAGAAGCAGGACCTACAGCGAGGCCAGCAGGGCCCGGCTTGGCGGAGGGCCCTGCTGCCCCAGAGCCTGCTGCGTCTCCATGAGGCCTTCTGCGGGCCGAGCCCGGGGCCGGGTCTGGGGCCCGGGTGATGCTCTGTCCTGGGACTGTGGTGCGCTGGGGATTTGGGGAACCAACAAAGGTGACAAGCGTTCCACCTGCCCTTGTCTGCAACCCTCAGCAGGCAGGTGGGGGCCAGAGGCCTCAAAGGGACAGCTGTGTGCGTGGACTTGCCCACCGGCCACTTCTCTCTCATGCTGTTTTCAGGCCAACCGGGATGCTGTGCTGAGCAGGATACCGGAGCACAAGAGCGACCGCCTCATCAGCTTGCAGAGCGCATCGGTCGTCTACGACTTGCTGACCATCGCTCTGGGGAGAAGAGGCCAGTACGAGATGCTGTCGGAGGTACCGCTCTGGGGTCTGGCTGGCTTCCAGGCGGCCCCGTGGTGCTGGGAGCCCAGGGAGGCGCGTGGGGCTGGTTCCGGCCCGCCCCAGGCACCGGCGGCCTAGTGACCCTGGGCCCACCCCTTAGCTTTGGTTTCGTCCTGTTAACTGGGAGCGGGCTGGGGCCTGGGAGGTGGAACTCAGTGCCGGCGCCTTCCCAGGCGAGGCCCGAGCCCACCGGCCATGAGCCCGTGTGGAGAAGCAGGTGTCCTCTCAAGCAGCTGCTCTAGCGGTGTGATTTCCACCGTTACCAGAACTCTCCTATCTGGGGCGATCATTTCCCTGTAAAACAGGTTTTTTCCATGTGAGGTGTTGTCAAATCTTGACCTCCGGGTGTGCAAGTGCAGGCAGCGTGTGGGGTGGAGGCGTAGCTGGAGTCCCGTGCTCAGCAGAAGCCCAGGAGAGCTGGGCGAGGGCTGGGAGGCGCCTCCGTCTCTCCCTGGCTTCTAAGAAACATGCAGGGTGGGAACTTGACTGTGCTGTTTCAGAAGAAGCGGCTGGTCTGGGCTGGGGATACGCAGTGTTGGTTTGCTGCCTGGAACACCAAACCCTACCATGGTACCCCTGGAGAAGCAAAAAAATCCCTTTCCTTTAGTTAATGAAGGAAAGAGAAAGAAAGAAAAGAATACAAAGAGAGAGAGAAAGGCTCATTTTGTTAAAATGAACTTTTCCATGTTATTTATCTTTCTCTTTCTAAATTTATCCACATTGCAACAGCCTCTGGGCATGAGGACAGGGAATGAAATACAGTAACAGCTTGGCTGAAGCCAGATAAGCCGACTCCCCCCCGTCCTGCCAGTGCAGCGCCACGTTGGGCGGGAGCCTGGGGAACAGATGAGCCTGCCCGGCTTGCCTCTTTTTTTAGCCTTTGGTTTGGTGACTGTGGGGCAGTGGTTACTCAGTCTTCCAGCAAAGCCCCTCATGGCGCAGCCAGATGAAAGTGCGTGTCCAGATGTTCCTGCCCCGGGAGCTGGCCCAGGCCTGATTGCGCCAGGGTCTGACCACCGTGCGCCCTCGGGCTTCCCGGGACCCTCTCCCTGCAGCCAGCTCGGTTCCCGTCTGAGGCACCCCTGCAGGGGGCAGTGCCACCACCCGGCTCCCGGCAGAGCCCTTTGAGGTGAACTTTCCCCTCTAGGCCAACCACTGAACATGTCTCTGCACCCAGGCGGAGTGGGGCCCGCCTGTCCCCTTCCATCTTGTCTTGCGGCCATGAAGCTCGTCCCATCTTGAAATTTGCCTACGTCCGAAACAGGTGTGAGGAGATGCTGGAGGTGGCCGGCCTGGCTGGCAGGCTGGATGGCCTTGCCCGCAGGCTGCTGTCGTGCCGTGAATGACTCGAGGGGTGGCTGTCACCTCGCAGCATTCCTCCGCATGCTGGCAGCTCCCTGGCTTGTGCTCCTCTGGGCGCAGAGGTCTTGTTTTCACCCAGATGACGTTCCTCTCGGTGCCACACGTGGCTTCCGTCTTGTGGTCATGACTTGACGCCCGAGTCACTGGTTGCCGGAAGCTTTGCAGTTCAAAATCGCCCCGCTCTAGTCACAGAGACTGTCTCGAAGGTGCCCCAGGAGAAGGGAGGGAGAAAGGGAACGTGATCACCCTGCGTCCCTCAGAGCCTTTCGGATCCTGTGCCTTATCTGTTGAAAATACAAATCGACTGAAAAAAAACATAAAATAGAAGCATTCGTTTCTTCAGCATACGTGCACACACACGCAATCACACACAGAATAACCCTGGGTGCGGACATCTGGGTGCACCCTCTGCCCAGATGCCCCTGTCCAGAAGGAGGCCCCGAGCAGCAGCGGTTGGTGTAACAGGCGGGCTGCTCGCGGGGCAACATCCAGGGTTAAAGCTCGGACATGTTGGCTCCAGCCTTTCTTGCTTTTCCGGCTCAGCTCTGCAATTGGTACTTCCCCAACAATGGCCATGTTGCCTGAGACCTTTACGCCAAAACTGGAGGCGTCGTAGGGAAAGTGGGGAAGCACCCAGGTTCTGGAGGCAGCCTGGCCTAGCTTGGGACGGCTGTTAGGGGAGACGGAGGCTGGGGGGGCCCCCTCGGCTCGGGGCCCTCTCCTCCCTGGTCTCAGGCCTCATCTTACTTATGGCGTCCAATGTCCCTCACTCGCTGGGAATTTTTCCTTCTCATTTCCTTTTTCTTCCATTTTCTCATGGCGTTAGGTTGAAAGAGTAACTGGAGTTTTTCTTACTGAGGTAAGAAAATTCGTGTGACAGCATCGTCACCATTTTAAAGAGTTCAGTGGCATTTAGTGTATTCATCCTGTTGTGCAGCTAAGACCTTATCTAATTTCAGAACATTTTCCTCACCCTAAAAGGAAATTTCATCCCCATCAAGAAGTTTTTCCCCATTCCTGCCCTTTACTGCCCAGCTACTAATCATCTTACTGACTGGGGACCAGTCTATTTGGGGGTTCACATTAATGGGCTCATCCAGTATGTGACTTTCTATGTTTGGCCTCTTCCACTTAGCGTAATTGATTCCAAAATCATCCACATTGGCACGTGTAGCAGCACCTCTCTTTTTTATGGCTAAGTAATATTCCATCGCTAGACATACCACAGCCTGGTTATCCATTCATCCGTTGATAGCTGATAGGCATTTGACTATGCTGAATAGTGTTCTTCCGATATTACTTCTTTAGCCACTGCAAGTGTGAGCAGTTATCATTCTCCAAGGTGATTGCTCCCCGAAGGATCTTTCTAAAACACAGGAAAGTGTGTGCTACCGTTCCGTTCAGAACCATTTGTCCTTCTTCTCCGTCCTTTTTCTTCTCTCTCTTTTTATTTTGCTTTGTTTCCTTCTTGCTCTCATAATGAAATGGACTTCACTGTTTATCTTTCTGCCACATGTAACAGCCCCTGAGACTCCTTGGAGAATCAGTACCTACAGATAAGGGAAGAAATGAAAAGTCACTTAGAACCCCACTGTCCTGAGAGAGCTGACAACCCGCTGAGTGTTAGAGACCATCTTTGCACGCCTGTCTTTATGAATATGCATGCACATTTATGGACGTTTCAGGGACTGGGCTGGCATTGTAGACATTTCATTGTTTATTCCTTTCTCTTCCACCGGCCCTCCAGTCCCTGCCTTTTCAAACTCCAGACCCAGGTGAGCCACCTGATGTGTCCCAGACTAAGGCCCTCTTCAAATTCGGACCCAGAACTTGTTTGATCCTGGCAAGTCACTAACCACCCGTGTCTCAGCTTTTCTGTCTATTAAATGTGCATGTCAGGTCATCGTGAGCGTCATGTGTGTTAATCCATGTAAACTTGGAGACAGGCACCAGGGAAGCGAAGAAGTATGCAAAAAAGGTCTTTGGACTTTGAGGGACTTCTAGTCTGCTGAGGGAGATCAGCACCAAGACGTGCAGAGGTGAGAGGTCAGAGAAGCCAGGGGTGGCAGGCGTGTTAGTTGCCAGGTGAGGCACTAGGCCAGTTGTAGCAACAGTTACTAATAACTGGTACACAGATTCACCCTGAAGGCCTTGCAGGAATAAAAAGCGTATGAGGAAAGGGACCCCTTTGTCTTCAGGAGGTGGCCATGGAAGGGGCCAGGCTCCAGCTGACTCTCGTGGAGGAGTCAGCTGGAGGACCAGGCAGCCAGGAAAGTGGGGCCAGCTTGTCGGAGATGGAGCGGGCTTTGCTTGTGGCCCTCGCTGACCTGACCTGACCTCGCTGCCCTCGGCTGTTATGGGAGCAGGTCCTCTTTGCTCGGCCCCCTCCCAGACTCCCTTCGGACCTCTCCTGCGTGGAAGAGAGCCCCCGCCCGGTTGAACCTTCTCACGCCATCCTGGCACTTTCCCTCTCTCATCCCCAGCCAACACTAGCGCTTCTGCATCAGGACACTGTCTCCTCCAGGCCTGGCTGAGGCCCCAAACACTTGCTCCACAAGAGAAGGTGCAGGGCCTCTGCCCAGGTCCCTGGGCATCTTCTCGCCTCGGTCCTGGACACCGTGGTGCGTGCCCTGCTGCACTGGGGCGCCGCCTTTTAAGGACTGTGTTTACAGAGGACAGAACCACGTTCACAAGAAACGGTCCTCTCTCTCCTCATCTCTCTTCAGTTGTTTTTAGTCAAGATAAGAGGCTGCTCTCCCATCTCAAGATCGACTGCCCCGCCTCCACCCCCGTGACCCGTTTCCAAGGTGCTGCTGGGCCAGACACAGGGCTACGAGCCTGGTTCGAAGGCAGCACAGACCTGAGCCCATCACACCCTCACCTGACAGGTCTAAACACAAGCGCGGCACCTGCCCCCTCTCCGGGGCCGCAGCCCAGGTGTTTTAAAGACTAACTGTGAGCCCTGCCGAAAGGCTTGTGTAGGAAGGGAAGCTCCTTTCCCCCCTTCAATTTAAACAGCAGCACTAGTTGGCATGACAACTTGGGCTATTAAAAGGAAAGCAACAAGCACTGACTGCTTCCTCTGTTTTTTAGAATGAACCCAAGCTGCCAAGGAGGTTTGTTTCTCGAATTTGACTATTAATGGCTCCATTTTGACAGAATGTTGTGGGGTCATTTTTGAAGAGAGTGTGTGTCCTCTCTCCACAGACATGGCAGCTTTAAGATGGATATCGTGTTTTTATTTTTATTTATTTAGTTTTTAACATCAAACTACTTTATTAACATTGCTTTTTTTGTTAAGATTTATTTATTCATATGGAACTGGGGTACAGGCCAGAGATATGGAGGGTGAGAGGATTCACCAGACACAGAGTGGGGGGCAGAACAGGCAGACAGACGAAGTACACTGCGGAGGGGAGCAGTGGGCGGGTCAGGAGAGGTCTGCCGCGCCATGTGGGTCACCTCCGGGGGCAAGGATCAAACTCATACGGAAGCGGCTTTAGCTTCTTAGTGCTGTGCTTTAACCCACTGTGCCACCAGGGAGGGCCCTAACATTGCTTTAAAAAAAAAAAAAAGATTTACTTATTTATTCATGCAGAACTGGGGTACAG